GGCAGACGACAGTCTAGACGGATGGACGAAAAGATCCAGACGTCTGCTGCATCGTCTAACTTCTGGGTCGTCGACCATCGTTCAACAGGGTATAGGAGGCCCCTAGACCATGGCTGATGTTGCAGGCTGGGAGCAGGGAGACGAGAAAAGGAAGAGTCACACGCTTGTGCCACGTTTTGCACGCGTTCAAGCGTACCAAAGTCATTTATATAGCCACTTGATTCACACTACGCCTTTGTAAATATTGTATATAAATAAAACACTTTTTCGTGTTACAACCCTTTCTATCCAGTGTCTCAACAACAAATCATTGCCACCTTTATCAGGTATGAAATTTCTTTTTTGTTTCAGAAAAACGTAATCAACGTTTCAGAAAAACGTAATCAACTTAGCAATTAGATAAAATACAGAGTAAATGAAAAATTGTCTCATTGTCGAGCATAAATTTGTGATTGGAACTTGTATAAAAAAATTATGTAACACATAAGTAAGTATAAGTTCCAAAAACGTGTTTGATATATTTTTATCTCATAGTGCTATCCAGTCTTCCTGTAGCATTTTGTACTACAATCAATTTTCCTAAATTCTATATTAAATTATCTCGTTGTCATGAGCACAAATATGTGATTAAAACTTGTATAAAAAAATTATGCAACATATATATGCTCGTATAATTCATATATTCCTAATTTTAGTCGAATTTACGTGAAATTCCGAAAGCGCGCGTTTGATATATTTTTATCTCGCAGTGCGATTCAATAATCTAGTTTTCCTGCATTCTGTACTGAAATATAAGTTGTAATTTTTCGTTAAAAAATTTGACACTGCATTTTTCAAAGAGGTATTATTAATTCCATAAATTGAAAAACGAATTGCGTCGGGAATTCGACATTTATTTCGCACAAGCGTGCGAACTGATCCATTTATTTGAAGACTGATCCTCTGTCTGCTGGATTTTATGGAGCAATCCGCATTTTCTTCCTACGAACAGCGATAACATGACGCGCGTTACCCCGCGAGGAAAAGCGCGACGAGAGTACGAGAGAGTGGCATCACGAAGTAAATCGCATAAAGCGCAACTGCATCGCAGCGAGAAACTAACAGCATCTTTTCACGGCCTCCTTTTATACCTGATTTTAATGCTACGAAACAGGACTCTCTTTGAGCGTCTCCTAAAAATTTTTCAGTTTTATTTTTTTGTCGTAGTATCTTGATGGTTCACTATTAAATGCACAAAATCGCTACTGTAGTTGAGCTATTCGTGACACAACGTTAACGTGAAACATTATATTAAAGTTTTCCGCTCTTAAATCGTTCCGGTCTTAAAACTTTTCAATTATACAATAATTAAAAAAATTTTCTTTAGGAACTTTAAAAATTGAGATAAAATATTAAGTAAAAATTAAAGTACAATAAAATATATCATAATTACAAGAAATTCAAATTAGCAAAATTAATCTCAATTTCAAATAATTAAAAAGATTAACACAAAAAATTAAAGTCCTCAGAATTACAGAAAATTTGAATTAGCAAAATTTGAATAAAAAGTTAAGATCTTGGAATTAGCAAAATTTAATCTCAATCCCAAATAATTAAAAAAAATCTTATTTCTTACTTTCATTTTAATCTTAATGTTAAATTTTCTGAAGGATTTACAGCAATTTGTTAGAATGTTTTAAATAACGAAAACATTATATAGTAGCGACATATTGTGTTAATAATATCGGGAACATCTAGGTATATCCTTTGCGTCTGACAAATGACGGTAATAAGTTACGACACGTAAATTTTGTTCTCTTCGCCGGAATATAGCTGTGACGTATTTCAAGCTGAACACGTAATTGGCTATTGAAGATGCAAAGTGCACCGTCTGCCATTCGTGCATTACTGCCCATTTGCTGTTTATGCGCCCTTTCCCTGCGCCGCCAAACGATAGGGAATAAAAAAACGCGGTAGATAAAAGCACAGTATCCTCATATAACCAGTAGCAACACGAATCCATATTCTCAGCGCACATTCAGCTTAAATGCGGCTGTTCGCTGTCGAGCTTTAACCGTCTAAATAAAAATAACGCGTGCATTTAATACTGGCACCCGCATGATGTGTCTCAGATGGAAATTGAGAAAATATTTATATTTTAAAGCAATTGTGGTGTTCCTCGGAAAAATCAACGCAATTGCGTTGACCCAGATATTCGAGAACTTCTAATTTTGAAGTATACGTATACTGAAAAAAATTACTAAATTTTAATAAATTGTTTATTTAAATAGTGCCAACTAAATATTTATTAAATATAAAGACATATTTGTTTGGTACAAGAGCTATTAATTTGATTTAACTATCATTTCTTTTTATTGAGTAAATGTTTAATTGCCTATTCTCAAGTAAATATTAAAAATGGTTTTTTTTCAGTTGGAAACGCATTCCCTCACTCATTCACATTTTATTTTACATTCAGAATCGCACGATTTTATTTTTTGTCAAAATAAATTCATCTACATATCTGAAAATTAAAACGAAAAATCGTCGTTCAATAATTTATTCCGAGGGATAAAAAGGATTGTCTTATGGCGAATGTTCCGTGACAAGGGACGGACTCCAACGAAGGAGTTTGCGAAAGAAGTCGCGTAGGGATCAAAGCCGAACTCAAACAACGAATTTAGAAGATTCGGACGAGAGTTTAATCCTTCGAGTGATTACGGATTAAAATATACCGCAATATTGACTCTTATATCTGTACCCTTGGATGTTGCCTCGACGTTGCCGTTACATCTACCTTGGACTGAAACTTTTATGATTTCACGTTTGGTCGCGTACGTTTAAGTTTGCGCGTACAAACTCAGTCAGCAACCAGTCACAAATGCCTAGTACATTTACATGCACAAAACTCTTCGTGTAACTTTCATTTCGCGTCACTCTCGCGGAAAGAGCGAACGCCTTTTGAAATTCATCTCAGCGTTAAAGATTAGATATTTCCACTGAGATATTCGTGGAAAAGCGACCAATTCGCAGATCAAGATATTATTTAAAAAAACAGATTAATCTTGAAGTAGATAGATGGCTAAAAAATTTGTGAGTAGGAGTGTTCAGAACACCTCAAAAAATGTTAATTTTACATTTTTTATGTATAGCTAAAATATCATATTACGTTATAATTAAAATCACATTAGTCTTATAGATAGAAGAATGTAAAAGTAGTAACTTTATAAAACTTCTGGGCAATACTTTTTATTCTCCTTTTCTAGAACAAGATTCAATGAAAAAAACTAAAACAAGGTTTTAAAGAAAGTTAAAATCTAGTAGCAATTTATTGACAATATATATGTTAAACGTTGGAAATATATTGAGTCAATATTGTGCCAATAACTTTGCTACTATATAAAGTGCTGTAGCCATTCCACCTATCCATCTAATTCCATTAAATACTTTTCGGATCTTACGCGTATGTTTGATGGAATTTGCTATATTTCAAAGGAACATAAAGAAAACTCTTAGTGCATGCAGGAAGTTTATAGAATCACCGGTATTATAAAAAGCGCATTCTTATTCTACATACGACTGCAACAAAGGCGTCATCAAATGCTGCGAGCATTTTCCACGTCAAAACGAAATCCCGCAAGATCCGGGAAACTTCGTATAAATCATCTTTACAACACCGGCTGCGAATAAAAACTTTGTTAAACGGCGCGGACATAAATCATCGGCAGGAGGAAGTCAGCGAAGTTTTACCTCAAAACCAACTAAAGATAATGCATAATACGTTGCGCGGAAAAACGCTAATTGGTGGCCGCCGGCGGTTTATCAATCTCCGTTCTCAGGAAACGAGTCTGCGACCTGTCGTTCGCGAGAAGATCCTCCACAGAATCCAAAATCTCTATGCAGGATTTACAGATGACCGCTGTAATTTGCTCCCGCCTGATCCTATCCACGCAAAGAGACACGTCTCTCCTAATTTCTTTTATCCCAAGGATTACGGCTTCCTAGGCGGTCTAAAAGTGTCACGCGGAAAAATCCCAACGTCGATAGTCGAAACGGCGATAAGTCTCTCGGGAAGACGAGAAAAACGCTCAGCTCAGCGAGGAATTGCGTGAAATAACGAGTCACGAGACACTACGCTTCTCTGACAGTTGATCACAAATACAACAGAAAATAGACAAATTCATATGTAGTTACAAAAGTACGTAATTCTGAAAATTCATTATATTCTATATGGAAAATTATTAATGGTATATTAACGATAAATTATTCATATTTTAACAATTATAATCGTGTGTTGTTTTCAAATTGTCGATGCTAGATGATTTATTATTTTAAAGGTAGCTTATTATTTCCAATAAATTTCTCATTTACTATTAATTTTATTATTCCTGTATAATTTATTGTATTTCTAGTCAATTTGATCTATCCGAAAATTCTGTTGTCTAACAGCTAAAATAATATTTAAGGAATTATTTTTCTAATTTAAAAAATTTAAAGAAGAGAGAAAAACAATTAGGTTCTCTGTTAATTGTTATGCTGAGAGAATCGCACGTAATATGAAACATAATTTTATTAAACTTATTATTATATTAATAATACTGCAGGACACATTAATAATACTAGCAGGCAAACAATGCACATAAAACCAGCTATTCATTTATATTGTCCCAATTAGCTCAACATGGTTGATATCAAATATTTCCAATGTAACATATCACAAAACATTTACATGTAATCGATATTATTTCAATCTCCATCTCCTTTGTGAACTTACTTTCGGAATTTTAATGATAAAAATACAATGGAAATCTGCTCTATTATGTAATATTATGTATGTAATCCGATTTTAAATAAGAGAATCGTTCAATCATCATTTATAGATAAAAGAAAATAGAAAATAATTCACCAATTATTTGGAAAAGCAATTGAAAATTAGGAGTTCTTCAAAAATTGGAAAAATATACAATAAAATATACAATTTCGTGGAATACACTTCTATTAATTAATTAATTAAATTTGATTTATATTTTTTATTAAAAGTTGTAAACAGTTAAGTGCTCAACTCCATTTTTATCTATCACGAGCGTATTCGTGAAAGAGTAGCAATTTACCAAATAAATTACCAAACGTCTCTCGAATGCTATCGGAAAAGCTCCTGGGCTTCATTATCGTTCGTTCTTGGCGTGTGTTGTAGTCTTTCGTCGAATTCTTCGAGAACTCGCTAAGTTGACCAAGGGATCCTCGTTACGGTTATTTACTGAAGACCGGTACTGATTAATTCCAAACTGTTCCCCTCGTCCCTCATCCCTTGTGAATTCCGAGCTGTGTATGCACGAACCTCGTATCCTGAATCCTGCTCTCTCTGGCCTTCGTCCATTCGGTATTTGCGGTCGATAGACTCAGAACTACACTCGCCTGTTTGCTACCAAATATTACCGACAAATAAGACGTAAAGGATACTCCAGGGAAAGTTCGGAAAGGGTCCCCGATTCTCGAAACTTGATACAAACATCAACAGAAATAATCCTGATCGATTGACTTTTCTCGAGGGAGAAAAGTAGAACGCGATGGCGCCATACAAGTCAATTGGCTGAATACGACAATATTAAAGATATAAGTACAATCTTATTTTTTTTTTTAATGTGTACTTCACATAAGCAAAAAAGAGCGTGTATACTTAGTTAACTTTAATTTCGATTTAACTTGCTATTTATTTTATTTTATATTCATTCTTAGAATTAGAAAAAGATAAAGCATAAATTGAACTGCAATTAAAGTTAATTTTACATTGGTGGAACCGAACTGTAAACGCTAGCACAAACTTAGGTTTCTCTCTGTTTCCAAATTTAGAGTTCTAGATTTAGAATAGAGCAAGTGTCTACCATTTTTTATCTAATAATCACATCATATATATTAAGAAATTACTAACAAAGCTTACTTATTTATTAGCTTATCTATTATAAGTTTACTTAATATTTATTACTTACTTATTGGATGATAGACCAGCAGATTCAAAAATGCGATCAAAATAACTAGAAAAGTTGATATCCGTGAAGCTCTTCTTCTTCTTGTTGTCCCCCTGAATGGATTTCCTGATTTCTTCCACTGATGTAGATCACAGTTACCACAAATTGGTCCGCGAAGCTCAAAGAAGAATTGCGCACTACTCTTGTAAATGTAGAGCTCTACCCAGATTAACATAGTGGCGACATCTGTTGGCGCGATAACGAAAGATTAGTTCACCATTTCATCAATAGATGGTGCCACTATGCAAATTCGGCGCATTCGGAGATAACTATTTTTTTACGTTTCCATATAGAAAAATTTCTCAAAATTGATAACAATATCATATGGAATCGCCATCCAATCGATAGATATTTTTTGAACATTTTATAATCAACACCTTACTCAATAAAAAAATGTGATGAAAAAATGTGACTTTTAAATTTAAAGCCTCGAATTGATCGATGCAACTAATGATTAAAACTCCTGCATGTCAATAACTTGAAATATAAAATTTATTTTGTATATACTATTTATTGGAAGAGCAATTAAACCTTTCATATTGCAAATATACAAATTAATTAATTAAATTAACGTATACATCCTTTGCTCATCTTAACTTCACTTACGGGACATCACGCGTTAGATAAATTTTTATAAAATTATTTAATAATATCAAAAGAGCCAGAACCAGAAATTTAATTATAGCTGTATTAATAACTTCGACAAATTAAAAATATATTTCTTTAATATAAGAAAATCCTTTTTAAAAATCTATTAATATTAACGAGCTGCTTCTTTTTTATCAAAGCTGAAATTATTCGTGCTATGCATGCGTCAATATGTCTCATAGTTTTCCCATCATGTAAACATAATATTGGGTCATCTAAAAAGTATCCGCGGTTTTTTGTCACTAGATGTGTGTTGATGGTCATATATCTAGTGACAAAAAACCGCGGATACTTTTTAGATGACCCAATATTATGTTTACATGATGGGAAAACTATGAGACATATTGACGCATGCATAGCACGAATAATTTCAGCTTTGATAAAAAAGAAGCAGCTCGTTCTCTGTTTACTTACATCTATTTAATTATCAAATGGAGAAGGTAGGTATGCCATCAATGTGTTTCCCTCTCCCTCGCGTAGCATCGAGCTCAGCTCAATGTCTGCCATAGCGTCGATAGCGTCGCGTCATATCAAAACAGTTCGTGAGCCGATTCACGCGTCCTGTATATCATCGAGAACGAGCACAGATTAATCAAAAGAGATTATTAAGAGGAATCGCGATGTCGCAAGGAAGAGGTGAGTCGCTGATCTGCGAATCTCCTCGTTTCGCTTTCGTTGTCAAGAAATGTCGATTCCACGTGAGAACGAGAGGCTGCATGACAGCTGATGAGCTTACACTCGGAAGTTTGTGGCGGCGGTGATATAAACCCGCTTTTGAAGAGAGAGAGCTTGAGGGGGATTAATTTCAAGATTGAGGGATCTCTTCGAACTAATACCTTCGAGTTTTGAAGAAAGTGGGTTATATCGTACATTGCTATGGATTGCTTTTGTAACAATCCAAATTCTTTACTCCTTCAATTTAAAAATAAAGACTTCTTTAAAATAATTTATATTTACATTAACTTTTCTTTAGTATTTATCATAATTCAATTTTGTTGTAATAGGTATATAATATATATCAACTTTTTTATATATTATAGTTGCAACTTTATCATAGATTACTAATACTTGTTTTCGCTTTCTCACATTGACTTTATTTTGCCATAATAGACATGTATATAACAATGTATTTTCTTAAACAGTCTACAACTTTGCCACAGATTACTAGATATTTATTTTTTCTTTTCATATTGATTTAATTTTGCAATATCTTGAGATGCTAATATACCCTTCTGATTGATTTATAACTTCTTAAAGCTGTATTTAAGACAGTCCTAAATATAAGATCCGACTATAATATGAATGCTGCTCTCTGATTAGTTCATCTTAAGACAATCTTAAATATAAGAATCGACTATGAATATTGACTTAAATATTTGCTTCCGTTTTCTCACATTGGCGTTACTTGCAGGTAGGAGAAATCGCAAACATCATGATAAAGAGAAAATAATCAATCTTGGTGACAAAGGCAAGGAAGTGATGGAGGACATAAACGAGAACAGTCTAGTAATACAACAATTCCACGAATATGCGGCTGAACTAGATGCCAAGCACGATCGTTATGAAAGAATCTTCAAGATCAATCGGGATGTAGGCATCGAGAGCAAAAGAATCATCTTTCTGTTGCACACCATCGATAAAGAGAGTAAACGGAATGCTGTGCTAGACGCAGCCAAGACAAGACTAGATAACGTAGTACAGAAGTTATTTCGAAATATCGCAACTGAGTTGGACGGTCAGGATGCTTATCAATTCCACAGAGCCTATCGCGCCGGCATAGAAGAATACATAGAGGCGCTGACATTCCATGAATATCTGCAGAATGGTGATATGCAAGACTGGTCTGCTCTGGAAAAAGCATTGACATATCACACAATTTCATCTCCAACCGATTCGTCGGAACAGAGTACTTCCAAGACGATGCAAGTCATGGTCACGCCAACAGACTATATTCTGGGAATAGCCGATCTGACCGGAGAGTTGATGCGAAAGTGTATCAATAACTTGGCGATAGGGGATGTGAGCAGTTGTTACCAAACGTGTAATTTTGTCAGAAAGATATACATAGCCTTCTTGGGCTACACCAGTGTAGTACATAACAACGAAGTAAATAAAAAAATTATCACGCTCAAGCATAGTTTGACCAAAATGGAAAATGCATGTTATACTATCAAAGTACGGGGATCCGAAATACCAAAGCACATGTTAGCCGATGTGGCTATTGCAGCAGCTGAGGAATATGCCACTGAGGACGATGAAGGATATCAGGCATTTTAATATATGACAGCACAAAAATTCCTTTCAACATAGATTATTTAATTATTTTTTAGTTATTGTAGACTTATCAATCTGATATGAGGTAAAAGTAATCGATAGTATTTTATATAGCTGGCGGTATTGAATCGAAAATTAATCAGTAAAGAAATTGTATTCTTCCAGTAGTATATCATCAATTATTTCAATTCAATTCTGTTAATTATTTGTGTTAATTTCTGTTAATTTCGTAAAAATTGCATAAAAGATTCTATAACAAAAAATTTACTTTAAACAGTATTTAAGTTTTATATTTTCATATTTCACACACGCATCAAATTAATATATTTATAACACTTTCCGATATATTATATAAAAGAGTCGATTGTGATATATTAATATTTATATATATATATTTAAATAAATCAAATAGATATGCAAGTATAATATTTTTAATTCATGTACAAAAATAAATATTCTATAACAAAATAGATCTGCACTGTGGTTACATCAATAATTTGGATACTTTTGAAAATGTAGAATCCAATTTTACATGGAAGATCAACAATTGTCAGCCAGTTGTACCGTCCTCTAATTCACTCCTATTATCCCAATCATCCGAACTCTCTGTATACACGGACGGCTCGTAATCGGATTCCTCAACAGACTCCTCTGCGGACGATACTTCTGTTTCAGATGTATCGACAACCACCAAGTGCATGGGGGTGGCGGCTCTTCGACGACGACGCGGTGCGGATGTGTGTTTAAACTGTGCCTTGTGCTGCGGATTCTTACGATAGCACTTCATGCCGTATGGACATTCCTCCCGATTGTCAACCTCATCGTAATCCAAATCATCTGGATGACTATAATTATTCTTGTGATTGGGATTCTTCCTGCAAATTTAAAAATATTTTAAGTTTTTTAAACCTACATCTACTACATCGTACTTTCAATATTTTAACATAATTATTTTAGGTCTGTTCTTTTTTGAAGAATGTTCTGAATTGTATATACTGGTACAGTAAGTTGAAGTGAAATGAATTTAAAGTGTTTTTTTCCTTTTATGTGACACAAATGTCGTTCTATCTTTCGTTGAATGTCAAGAAGGCTGGAATGATGTTTGTGACTGTGTCTTGTAAAAGGAAAGCAGTCATGGTTCGTTTCATTCCAACTTATTGCACCACTTTATTGTACAGAACATTCTTCAAAAGAGAATAAATTTATTGATAAGAAACTGAACCATATTGTACTGTACCACTTACCGATAACATTGAGCACCATATCTACATTTTTCTCTGGGTACTCTATTAGAATTGGACGTACTCGCTTGATCTTGAGGCATAGCAACGGGTGACTGAGGATTATTCGACGGAACTTCTTCGATCTGATCACTGACATCTATGTCCCATTTGACCTTCTTGCCTGATTCATCATTTATCGCGGCTTTATTCGTTAAATTAATATTCCTTACTTTCCGCTTCCTGTTATTCTCCTGGTCAACAGGAGGTTCAATTACATCCTGAGAGTCTATTGACATCTTAGAACTTGTCCCAGCCATATCATTTCCCTCTGGCACGCTGAAAGAAGCATGAAGAAAGACACGGGATGAACAATTGCACTTTTATCGTCAGATATTTCTGCTCAAATAATTGGAGCAAAACCTTGCAGGATCGATCTGCAAAATTGGAGCAGCTTCGTCCCTATGTTCCCCATTTCCATTAACCGGACAATCCTTATGCTCATTTGATAGATCTTTATCTTGAAGAACATCATGCAAAGTTTTGCCAGAAGATACAGCAGCTTCCATGCTCGACAAAAAGCAGGCTTTTTTACTGTCCACTTCATTATTCAAATCTACCTCGTCAACCTGAAATGAAAAAACCGTAATAAGGAAAATTCCTCGCGCAAAATTGTCTTCGAATATATCAAGCAAGAACTGCTGTACCTTTCTCTTCAACGTCTGATCACCTTCCTGCATCGTATCTGTCGAGATGATCTTGAACCAACATTTGTCAGGCAGCAGAGAACAAACGTCACCTGGTTTTATCGGCACACTGTTTCCCAATTTAAGAGATCGCCATCGTGCACATCCAGCGGGTTTCATGTAACATGGTGCCACCTAATACTGGAAAATGATCTCTATAGAAAACTGATGTTATCAACTACAATGCATTAAAAAATAAATAATCCAATGAAACAGTAAAACCTATTTTCACAATGTGACTCTCTAAAGATTAAAGGTTACCAAGCAATTCGTAACCTAATAAATAGTTATATCAATTAAAAATGACATAACATCAATGTTATAGTTTTTCACTCAACAATATAAATATAATATGACACATGTTTCACACAACAGTTACATTGTTGAGTATGAAATTATAACATTGATGTTATGTTAATTTTAGATGATATTTAATGGATAATTAATTTCTTTAATTTCTAACTAACTATATGTTGTAAAAACAAGCCTATCTAACAATATAACAATTAACATCAATGTTTTAATTTCACACTCAACAATACAAATGTAATACAATGTATGTGATAATAAATAGTTACACTGTTTAGTGTTAAAGTATAACATTGTTATGTTAATTGGTGTTTACTGGAAAGCTATTAAAGGAAAAATAAATATAAGCTTATACATCACATAATTTCCTTCTACAAAAAGCTATTATTAATTTCCTTCGTTACGTGTTGTCAACTGAATTATCACAGAGATTACTGGAGTTTAGTATTATCAGAGTACAAATATATGCCAAATGATAAGGAATACCCAAAACAGGTAACTTTACCGGCGTAATCGTCATTTCATCGTTGGGCGACAAATTGATGGTCACGGCGTGTTTGAGCACCTGGCCATCATTGCACTGCGATAATGGTAAAGATCGTTAAGTTTTACCGTCAAGAAACGTTAAGAATCAATCCTTTAATTAATTCAACGCGTCATCGATGAAGCAATCATCAACACATCATCGTTCGTGTTTTTAGTGACTCAGAATCATTTCGAGTCGTGTTTCGGCTTGCAGCGATTTTATTTATGTTACCCGCATAACATTTAATTGATAAAAACGTTTGGAGGTACGCAAGTGTACGTTTATATGCTGCAAAACAGATCACTGCAGCTGATCTCAACGTGTAAATTCAAAATGCTTCGAAATTCATTGCGAACGCCCGACAGTCGAACGAGTCGTCGACGAAATGTAGCACGAAAAATCGTAGATAAAGTTT